ATTAGATTATATATATGTTTTAGTATTCTTTTTAACACTTATAATCTTTATTCCATTTTTTCTTGCATTATTCCTTATGTTTTATTTTTATTATTTCATTTTTTTTGTGAAAGACAATACATATATCATTAACTTTTTAGTTTAATTTGATTTGTATTTGTTTTTTTAATTACAGTATGTGACACTTTTGGAAATAGACTATATATGACTTTCATTTTTTTTTTTTTTGGTAGGATGACTTTCATTTATTATGTATATCCTAATAGTTAATATTAAATATTAAATAAATATATTTACAGGATGTCAACAACAAAAAAGACATATATATTTACAGAAAGATTAACACATTTCATCTGAAAATCCAATCTTTCTTTTTTCTTTCTTTTTTTCTTGATTAAGCAATTAAATGTTAAATATTTACAAGCTGTCATGTTCATCACCACCCTCCAAACTCTTTGTAAACCCCAAATAAGCACATACTCTCTCACACACACTTGTTTACCAAAGCTCTTCATCATCATCTTCCTTGTTGCTTAAACTATGGCTTCTCTCTTTAACCAAGTCCCTTCTGTATCCACAGTTTTCGCCCTCTACACATCTTTATCAGCAATCTCTATGATTCTCCGTAGAATCATCAACGAGATTGTGCCTAAGCCAATCAGAGATTACATCAATGTGAAAGTTGTAGACTTGTTCACCTCTTATTGTCAGCAAGTTTCACCCTTGTGATCGAGCACAAATGGGGGTTTTGCGATAATCAGACTTTCCGTGCGGCCGAAGTTTACTTTAAGATGCGTCTTGCCGGACTCTCCACCGGACAACTCCTCGTGGGTTCGAGTGATCTCAAGAATCCGGAGGCTGAGCCAAATCTTGGAATCCCTGTCAACACAAAGATCGTTGATGAGTTTGAAGGGATTCATCTTGAGTGGACTCTACATTGTGTTGAGCTTAAGAGTTATCCCTTCGAGAAACGGTACAAATCTGTTTCTTTCTCTTCTCGTTGTTTGTAATCTTAGTCTTGTTTTGTTACTTATACAGTGTAGGTTTGTGGATGTTTCTGTTTCAGGTACTTTAATCTTACTTGTAAGAAGGAGTTTCGTGAGAAGATAATGACAGATTACTTGACATACATAGCGACATCAGCAGAGAAGATAATGAGACATCGTGAAAAGCTCTTCATCTACTCTTATAGCCGAGAAGGAGGATGGCAATCAGCTAAATAGTATCATTACTCTATACTAGGTTGGAACCCGCGCTACACCGTGGGACTGTTTTTTTTTTTGTTTTTTTTTGTCACGTTGAACCGTTAACAGTAACCAGTAAATATTGTATTAATAAGTTATTAAAATATGGGTTTTTGAAAACCTTTTAATTACGTCGAAACTCGTTAATGGGGATTTTTTGTTTTTTGATAGACCTCAAAAAACATAACGTAATTGTTAAACTCATCGCCTTTTTAATTCACCTTGGGCTCAAAACACGGATTTGAACAACTGATTCGGAATGAGCGAATAACTTGAATGGGTTGTAACAGTTCTTTTAAAAGTAGTCGGACTCTACCTTGTGTAGTCGTTCTCGTGCCGGCAAGAACCATGACTTTGGCTCCTTCACTAACGCCAGTTCGTCTCTCGACAATGGCAATTCGGTCCTCCATTGACTCGCTCTTGGAAGACTTGTCGATAATCTTTGACCTCACATGTACCAAAAAGTTTCATAGCTTTTGGCTCAAAGCTCTCAAGGAATCATTATCGATTAACCTTATCTATCTTTTCATCTATTTTATGTTGGCTTTGGGGAATGCATTTTCTTATTGTATCTTAAACTTTGGGATCTCATGTTCCTATCTTTGTACTTGGTTTCTATTCTAGTGAAATGAAAACAAGTTTGGTTCAAAAAAAAAAGTAGTCGGACTCTAATGTACCTGAGCTGTTAAAATATGGTACTTGAATAGACTTGAATGATTAGTATATGTTTTGTAAATTGTTTTTTTATAATAATCCTAGTACTCATAATTATTTGTATTTTTGCATATTTATGTTATTTAAAGATAATTTTGGATTATTTAATTACCTTTTGGGTTATTTGGTTAATTTACTTTTGGTGTAATTTTTGTTTTTAAATTTAGGATACTGTTGGATTACTTGATTAATATTTGAGTAAATTTCTATTTGTGACCAAATTAAAACCAGATTAAATTTAATTTCTGTATAAAAATATATATTTGTTTAATCATTTTTTGCCGTCACTTATTTAATTAGTAAAGAAGATAATTTAAATTTATTAGTTTTAGTGAAAAAATAACATTTGTAAAGTGAAACATGAGAAATGTTTAATTTGTATTACCATGCATCACACCAAGTGGAAACAATGAACATCCCTGGTCTTATCGAAACTTGATCACACAGGTATGCTTTAACCACTCCTACAACGATGGTTAATTTACACTTGGCCTATGCCGCCTATCTATTTTTTAAATTAACTCTTGGACTAAATTATAAAATACTTGATTTGGGATAAAATATTACAAAAATAAGTACTTAACCCAAATTTTATCGGCCCGAATTTCTAATGCGATGCCTATCTTTAATTGAGGAAATAATGAGCTAAAACCTTTCTTTCTCCGCCGTTTTATCTGTTTTGTTTTTCCAGTTTTACCATGTCAAGTCTCTCTCTGGTTTTAAATCTGATGTTGTGTGTAACAAATCTTAGTTTCTCTTTATTTCTAAAGTTCAGGCAGAGAATTCGATCAGTAATAACTCTCCACTGTTCTTGCTACGTTTGATCGAAAGAGCACTGTTGTCCAGCAATGGAGCGTGAATCTGCAGCAGGCTTCTATTTTCATAAAATAAGTTACCATTAGCTTGTATGATGTTTGATGCTGTGGCCTTCCTAACTCAATAAGATCTTGTTTCACTCTGTTTGTAGAAACACATCAGTCAGTTGAAACACACATATAACCACTTTCACAAATAAAAGACTTATGATAAACTGAAAACTATTGGCAGCCTCAGTTTGATCATTGTTTTCAGCTAAAAGTTTGATGGTATCAGAGTAAAAAAACTTACAAATCCCAGTCGTCGGTTGCTCTTGCAGGTTTCTCGACAACCCGATACAAACGTTCAAGGCTGTATATTAGCAAACCAAATACGGTTTCTGCATCCTTATCCTGTAACAGCATCAAGAAATCAAGAAACGACCAAGAACTTTTTCACAGGATTTCTCAAAAGACCCATTCGTAAATTAATAATGATTCAAAATAAAGTAAAAAAGGAAGATAATGGAAATCTTACACGTCCTTCTTCAATATAGCTCTGATATTGCATAATTCTCTTTTCAGTTTCAATGACAAGTAGTCTCCTGTGAATACGAGCAATCCTTCCTCGTCCTTGAGCTCTGCTATCCTGATTCATACCAATGAAATCAAATTGAATAAAGTTAAAGCTGCATTGACTGTGCACAATAATTCTTATAAACAAAACAAAAAAAAAAAAAAGGAAAATCTCATGTTGTTCATACTCTCAGTTGCCATGTTCATCAAATCTGGATTTGACATAATCTCTAAAACAAAATGTATTTAAGTTATCATAGAAAACAGAGTAGAAATAACCTCGAATGATTACTCAAACAAAATCGATCCATTAGACAGCACCTAAACACAGAATGACTACGATTGAGATTTAATTCTTCCTATTCGTTATCAATCACATACCAAATCGATTCAATTAAACATCTGATCTGAACGGATCTTCGAAAATATAGAACATCGAAGCAATTCGAAAATGGAATCGAGAGAGAGCTTGGTGGAGAATGACCTGAGTTCCTGGAATCTTCAACGACGGTGGAGCAACCGATTTACGATTGGAAGCAGTAATTTGATCCTCCTTCAAGCTACATCTGAGGAATTTGGCATAAATCAAAACACATTGTAAACCCTAAACCCCTAAATTTTTCACAGTGAGAAGTTTTGCATCGAGAAGAAGAAAGCGAATAAATAAAAAACAACCCAATTGTCCACCTAGGCAAAAAAAAAAAAAAGAAAAAAAAGCTGACTCAGATTAATGGTTATAATCTGATTGACTCCCTATTTTTACTGATGTGTCACCTCCTGCTTCAGTACAAATGCTGAGGTGTCATCGAAGATCGCTAGTAGAAGAAGATACCCACACCCACGGCCAGAGAATAGGCGAATAGGGGAAAAACATGAATAGGGCTTTTTGAAATAAATAGGGTTTGCGCAATTCCATTTCTAATAGAATGCCGTCTTTAGCAAAAGCTCTATCAGTGATTATTTCAAGTAGTGCTTTTTGTCTGTTACCGGATATGTATAGAAGTTTCCTTATGGTGTTCCTCTCTCTCTAGCGGTGTATCGGGTGTTGGCACTTCGGTTGTTGCCAGTCCTGTCATTTCCTACAGCCGCCCGAAAAGGAACTGCAGTGATCTTGAATAGGAATCCTACAGCGATAGATCGTGAAATGGCAATGGCTTTTATTAGTCAGATCCGCCCTTCTCGGTGGTCGTTAACAGCTGCTATTTGAAATCCATTCCCGCTGCTGTCGTCAACGGTAGAACTCTTCGGGCATCCGTCCGTTCTTCTTCTGTCTGAGGCAAAGGCGAATCCCTTATACTGTATACGGTCGAGCTGGGGCTTTCTTGCCTACCAGGGAGTAGATTCCTATAAGGCTTGACGTCTGTTTGCGATTAAAGTATCCAAGTCTTGTTCCGAGAGAGAGCATCAAGTTCTTCCTGCATTGCTTGACACCATCCTGGATCCTTAAGGGCAGAAATAACAGATTTTAGTTCTTTTTTAATAGTGGTAGTAATAGTGAGACTATACTTGGGATTTAGTTTGTTTATGCCAGCCTTTGATCTGGTAAGCATGGGGTGAGAGGACATGATTATGCACTAGCAGACAGAAAGTGCCAAGAAGAGAAAACGCATAACTCATAAGCCAAAGATGTATTCGATCCTGAATTGAACGTAATCTTGGCCGGCCCTAGAATCAGTTTGCCTAAAATCACTTGATGGAACAGGAGTTCGAGTTTGAGTTACTCCAAGAAGCGCATAGTCTCAAGTTCAAGAGCGGGTTGTCTCCTCTCGTTTCACTCGAGTTATTTAAACCTCTTGCACACTTGGCATAACAGGCTAGGCCATCCTTCTTCTTCTAAAACTGCTATCCTTTCAGATTGACTCCCTACTCATAAGAATAAAAAGGTCAATCAGACCATTTGTAAAATCTGTCCTTTGGCTAAACAAAAACACTTACCTTTTCAATCTCATAATAACGTGCCTCTGTTATTGCAGATTCTCACACTTGGCATAACAGGCTAGGCCATCCTTCTTCTTCTAAAACTGCTATCCTTTCAGATTGACTCCCGTGGACCAATCCTTTCTTGTTTTCCCAACCGTCTTCTCGCTTTGATTTATCGGTTGGAGATTTCCACTTGGCCACTTGTTTGAGGATGGTAAGGAGTGGCAACCTTATGCTTCACACCATGTTTTCTTCAAAAGGTTCTCAAAAACTTTGTTGATGAAGTGAGATCCCCCATCACTAATAACCACTCGGGTCTTTCCTTCGCCTATCCTATATTGTATGTATCGGCTTGGCTTCGTCCAAAACTAAAAAAAGGGATTCAGTGGTGTAATGTTAAGAGGTCGTGCGACATGAAGACATTGATAGCAATATGGGGGAAGTTCCCATCAGGCAACAATGGTTCCGCCTGACTCTACTTAAGCATGCATATGCGATCATTAGAAATTCACGAATTAAAAATGCTGTAATATACTCTTTCCCATAACTTCTCATACCAGACCAACCCACTGAAATGCAAATAGTTGAGTGCTTTTTCGTACACGTTCACTTACATCACATACACAAGTGCTCTCTGAACCGTGCAATAAGGTCACCCATAACACGGCTCTCCCACTTGAGTTACTTTAGCCCACCAACAGGTGAGAGTGGAATTTTAAACTGACTGTAGAGAGGTGGCGGAGGCAATCAACCACAGCATGGGAGTTGGAATGTAAAAAAATCAGAATAAATGGGATTTTATCGTTCAGCGCGGTGCAGTAAAATTCCTCTTATTCATCTTCGCCAGGCTCTGGGATTCCTATTCTATCTAGAACAGAGAACGAGGTTTTCCAACCGCGGAACAATATCTTACACTTAGATTCCACCATAGTGCTAGATTAACTAGGACAGCTAATCTTCCAAATTTGAAAAGCAACTAGTCCATCCATTTTGATTCGATTCACTGTTCCTCGTCCAATCCCTCTCGTATCAATCCTTCGGATCTGCCTTTCAGTCGAGCTTTAGCTCTAACTACAGTATTTATTATTTTATTTAGGTAATTAGAAATATCGTAAGATAAGAAAGAATTGACAAGCGGATAAGTTTTCTAGTTGGCGCAGTTGGAAGTTGCTTCCGCGGTATCTTTTTCACTCAAGATTGGGTCTCGCTACCATACCACAAGGCTATCTGAGTTCACAATCAGTCGAAATAAAAAGGTAAACAAAGCGGGAAACCTTACTAGAGAAACTCACTGATCTTTTATTGTATTGACTAGGGCTAATTCCGCGCTACGCGCGGATATGTTTTGATTTTTTTTTTTTTTATTGCGTTTTGTTTCATTTTATTTCCAATTTATGACATGCATTGTTTTTTTTTTTTTTAATTTAAATTTTTTTTGTTTTTTGTTTTCTACTTCTCTAGATTACACATGAACTTTAAACCCATACAATTAAGCAAATAATATAAGTATTACATGTATGTATATTTCTTTGTACCATTAGCGGTTTATATCGTATAATTATGAATTTTATTTGAAGTCCAAGAATCTTATTATATAAAGTTGGGTTTTCGAAGTTACTAACTCACGGGATCGCGACATGTGTTATATCTAACGGTTATAGACTTTGACACGTGTCAAAAAGTATTGATTTTTAACAATTTTAAATATGTAAAAAGATAATTATGAGAAAATATTAAAATTTAAAAATGTAAAAAGATAATGTTAAGAAAATTATAAATTAAATAATTTTAAAAGTCTAAAAAGATAATGTTAAGAAAATTTTTAAATTTAAATTCTTTTGCCAACGTTCAGGAGGTTGATGCGTAAAGATTGATTATAAAACATGATTGATTATAAAAACCCCTGTTCAAAAAAAAAAATTGATTATAAAAACCTATATAATTAAAATATATTAAAATAATTAATAAACGAAGAGAAAATTTTAATTAAGTTATTTATAAATATTTTACAGAATATCTAATTTTGTTTTTATACGGGTTATAAAAATTTTAGTTATAAACCGACGTACGTGAGCATTAATTTTTTTTTTCTTACACGAGTTATAAATTTTTTTATTTTAAACCCGCGTATACGCGGGTCCTAAATCTAGTAAATTATAAAATTAATATATGCCACAATATGATGCGGAGATTTTTTTATACGTATTTTTGTAAATGTAACTTTTATTTATTATGTTAATTTAGTTTCTTATTTGTTATATATTATTGTAAGTTTTGTTTAAATGTACACTAACGTTATATTTGTTTTTTTTTTTGTACAATATTTATATGTAAGATTGTAGTAAGGAAAACTGAAAAAGTTGCATCTTCTTCCTTCTCCACCAACAACCATTCATCATCATCATTATCATGACAAAAGAAACACTTCTCCATGAATCTATGCATTTACCAGTTCCACATACACTCTTCCCTCATAAAGCCCCAATAGGAAAAAATATATGCACTACCTTAGCTCTGGAAATAACTTTCCTCTCGCTTTCTTAATAGCATTAGCCCTGATTTGGAGAAAAAAAATATTTGTATGATTCAGTAGTCCAAGACGTGGATTTTGCTTTAGGCTGAGCCCCATAGAGAAAGATTATTATAATTCATAGATACATAGTCCAAGGAATAACTGACATGTTACCTCCCTCACAGTAAGCAGTGAAAATGCAGGCGTTATTGTCTTGTGAAAAGAAAAAGAAATCTTTGAAAACTGATGAAAATCATTATAAATTTTTTCATAGAAAATGGACACTGATGTCCAATATAAGGATTCTTCAAATTTGAGAGCAATTTCATCTGCAACACACAAAAAAAAAGATGATTTTACATGAGATTTATCAGAAAAACACATACGAATAGGAAATCAAATGCCAAATAAATCATTTGGTGGCATCCAACTCTAAAACTACTTTACTTTTATCCTAATAACTTCGTTGTAACCTATGAATTAGCTACCGTCCTGCAGGTGTCTGAGTTGTGAATGGTTTAATTTGAAAAAGTGTGAAATAAATTTCAGGGCCCTCAGGGTCTGACAGTATCCTTTCTTCCATGTATTCCTTTTTAATCAAAAAGGTTTCTTAATGTTCCAGAACTTTAAATATTACTTCATCTATTCCAATATGTATATTGGTCTCGTTAAAAATGCATAGATTAAGAAATCATAAATGTATTTACTTTTATTATAAAAGAATTATATTATTTAATAATTCATTAAAATTATTTTAACCAATCACAAAAGATACTGCAAAAAATAAATTTATAGAAACTTCTACATTCTGGATAGGAATTTGCAAAAAAAAAACGAATAAAATGAGACATTTTAAAAAAACTCCTAAAACAATTTACATAATATAATAGAGGTAGTATTTTGTTAAAAGTTTATTAGTGCTCTTTTTTGGACTATATCAAAGACATAAAAAAAAATCACCAATATATAGATATGTTGGATTTCACAAATGTAATGTAACACATCTAATATATTTGTCCTTTCTTTTTTAACATCTAAACTTGGTCATTTGTTCATATCCAATCTTTGTGAGTCTTGTGACTCACAACATCAAGCTGCGTATGGTATTACCGCGTTGAAGTTCCCATTGGAAACGCGATCATAAAGACCATTGGTCTTTTTTTAGCCGAAAAGGTTTAAGAATTTTGAAAATTGAAGACCTTGCTACATATACAGAATTGGCCTAATCTTACTAACCCCACACCAACAGCTGAACAGCTCCTTT